TCAAACCCACCAGCCACTCCTCGGAAGGAAGGTTGGGCAATCTACTTCTATAGTGATATCACCTCAGAAACCCAAGGAGCAGTCACTATGAGTCAGGTCTGACTCAATGGCACATAACAACAACAAATGGTTTTCAAACTTTAATATACATCTGAATCACTTAGAGAGCTCTAGAAAACACAGAAAGATTTTTGGACCCTCTCCCATCAGAGTCTCTGATTAGGTAGGTCCCAGGTGAATCCTCGTAATCTACATTTCTACCAGCCTCCCAAGTGAAGCTGATGATGCTGGTCAAGGAACCACACTTGAGAACCACTGCTGTATAACACCACCACTCCTCTGTCAGGTTGTCATACTATGATGGGTTACATGTTGCTGTGATGCTGGAAGCTATGCCACTGGTATTTTAAATCCAGTAGGATCAGCCATAGTGGACAAGTTTCTGCAGAGCTTCCAGAATAAGACAGACTAAACAAAGATTTGAACCACCAGCCTTCTGGTTAGCAGTCAAATGCCTTAGACACTATGCCACCAGAGCTCATAAATAAAAGGACATGGTGATCTACATCTTAAAAAATTGGCCACTGGAAACCTTATGAATAGCAGCAGAACATTGTATGCTATATTGCTGGAAGATGGGCCCTTCAGATCAAAGGCACTCAAAATACAACTGGGGAAGAGGTGCCTCCTCAAAGAGTTGACCTTAATGACGTGGATGGAGGTAAGTTTTAGGGACCTTCACATGCTGATGTGGCACAACTCAATATGAGACTAAATAGCTACAAATATTCAGTAATAATTGGAATGTGGAATGTATGAAGTATGAATCAAGGAAAACTGGAAGTCATCAAAAATGAAAAGAACAGTTGAAGATCAATATCCTAGGCATAGTGAACAGAAATGGTTAAAATGAATTGGCCATTTTGAATCAGAGGATTACATGGTCTACTGTGCCAGGAATGACAAATTGAAGAGGAACAGCATTGCATTCATCATCAAAAAGAACATTTCAAGACCTATCCTGAATACAATGCTGTCAGTGATAGAATGATATCCACACATCTCTAAGAAAGATCAATTAATCTGACTGCTATTCAAATACACATATCTACCACTAATGCCAGGAGCTCTGGTAGCATAGTGGCTAAAGCACTTGACTGCTAACCAGAAGGCTGGCAGTTCAAACCC